AGGCTTGCCGCTTGGAAAGCGGCAAGCCTGTCACCACAGTCGGTGGTGGGTTGATTGTTATATGCAAACAAGGAATGTTTATGTTTATCCACTATGTACATGAGCCCTTGGAGCACCGTCAATGTGAAATTCAGCCCCTATGTAGAAGAAGTGTTCCTTCAAGCAACACAAGCAGTCATTTGCCAATTCAAAATTGGTTCGGTAGGCGTTTACGGCTCTTCGCCAAATGCTGAACCAGTTCCAACGCGGATAGACGCAATTCGGAGGAGGCTGTTTCCACTATACACTGGCATGGAAGTTCGAAAGGTCCTCAGTTTCTCATCGCACTATCGCACTAAATGTTCAGCGGTCGCTCCTGTGGAATGGAACCCCCATATGTGTGTCACTTTCACGCTATTCTGCAGATTCTAATAAGCCTCAATTATTCAAAACGGGAAACGGTCTCCTTCATTTCAGAGTTTCGAGAGGGGAAAACGCCTACTCGGGCTTTTCCTTTGTTTCGCTCCAAAGAGTCTTCAGGATGGGTTGATGCATGCAGACGGGTTCCAAGTAGTTAGGCTGGGTTCTGCTTCTTGCTCCTGCGCCTCTCAATCATGCGGTGACACCATAGAGCAGTTGCAATGTCCGCCAGTCTCCAGGAGCCCTGCACAAACTGGATGGAGGACCTGAAGTTGAGCAGCGTAGTGGGGCCGCCGACTTACAGCACCCTCCGTTACAGCGTCTGCTCGCGTACTAGTTCTAAGTGCACCAACACCTCGGATAATTGTTAAAACACTCACTTGGAGCTAAATTGTCATTCGTCATGGAAGCAGAAAGAAAGCTTCCACCGTTAGGACGAGATTGTTAAGAAGTTTCCTCAGTGGCTCGTCGGCTGGCCGGCGGGCTGTGTTCACTGTCTCGCTGCGTTGTGTTACATGGAAATGTAGCACACCTCACTGAGCCCCGCTGGAAAAGTGTGCTTAAACTTCTCTGTCTAATTTCGGGATAATAACTACTTTACTGTCAGGGTACTACAGAAATCGTACTGGTTGACTGGATTGTTGGTCCCTTTTAACAAAAAAGGCGAAAAAATGAAAAAACGATAACTGGAAGCCCTAAACCGTGAGGGGACGATGAGAACTCCGGCTCAAGGCCAAAATAGTACTTTCAAGCATTTTCACATTATATGTTTGCTAGGTTACCACAGAAGGAGGGGCGTCACGGTGAGGAGGTTGTCTGTGTACGCCGATTGGAAAGGAGGACTTCGATTTGACAGAAGTTTAGAACCCCTGAAATCGAAGTTCTTGCCTGTTCATACATCCTGGCTACTGTTGCTTTTTGCGTGTTTCATTTATTTACCTTCTGACTTCTGGAAAGTGAGGTGGTTTGTACAACAGCCTTCGGTTGATGAGCTGCAGCTGCCTTGGGAGTTCTGGATAGCTCCGCATGCGGAAGAAGTGTAGGGGTCGGTTGTGTTTTTGACTGTACTTTGCCGATTTGACTGTCTAGGCATATTTCTTTTTATATTATTTTTCTTTTATCCCTCTATTTTTTGTTTGAAAGGGCTCCTGTTCGCTCCCCAAGAGGGCAGGGGCCTAGCCTCGACCTCTGCTCGCCGAGGGGGCACGGGACCGGAGAGGCAGACCACCATTTTTTGCGCTTTGTCGGCCAGCTGGGGCAGTATATAAGTCGCTTTCTTCCATCCCAACTTCATGTATCTCCTACTGATTCACATTCTCGGCGGTTAGCTGCTCTTCGGTCTATTCACAGGCCTGAGGGCTAGCAACGAGGCCCCCCCGCAGCCTAAACTCGACCCATGTCCCCCATTCTAGACAGCCCATGCAGCATCAGAATCAGCACAAAAAGCAACAGCAGCGATAGCAGCAACAACCGCAAGACAGACTCGGGTTGCCATTGAGTGGGGCGTGAGTGCAGCCCCCAATTTGCTATGGGGGCAGACACACGGGACCTGCTGCAACAGCAGCAGCAGGTAGTGCCATCGCAGAAGCAGCAGCAGCAACAGCAGCAGCAAAAACCACCATTGGCTCAACAGAAACAACCATATCCACTTGACGAACAACAGCAACAGCAGCAGCCCCGCCCAAGTCGGCGTGCAAATCGCAACTTCCTTCAGCAGCGGCACCATCAGGATCAGCAGGACCAGCCACAACAACAGCATCAACAGTTCCTGCAGCAGCCCAGGACGCGGAACAGAACGAACCCTCAGAGACGTCCTCGTCAGCAGCAGCAGCAGCAGCAGCAGCAAACTCCCGGCCTCCCGCCGTGGGATCCACAGACAACAGATCCCCCTACTGCAGAGAGGCCTGTGGGCCGCGTCTCAAGGGCTTCCCGCCGCGATGCAGCAGCAGCAGCAGTAGTAGGAGAGGCTGGAGTAGGAGCTGCCGCCGCAGGGGCAGCAGGTCCTGCATCGCCTGCCCGTGAGTGGGTCTCCGGCTCTCTGCAGCACCCATTGCAGCATTCACTGCAGCATTCACTGCAGCATCTTCAGCACCGTTGCTGGCAGCGGCTGGAGGGGCAGCAGCGGGAGGATTACAGGGCAATTCTGCCTTTGGGGGGTCTCGCGTCTGAGGCACTTCGCGTGCGACTGGACCACGGGTACCCTCTAGATGTGAGGGGAGGGGGCCCTCATCAGCCAAGACTGAGGCCGGCCCCCCCCCACTGTGGCTTCCTTGGGGCCTCCCACTTCTGTCTCCCCCTCCTAGGTCTGGCGCCGCAGGGGCCCCACGGCGGCGGGCCGCAGCCGTGGGCCCCCACCTTGCCTTTTGAGGCTACCCCAACAGCCCCACCGGCTGCCGCCTCGCTTCCGCCAGTACAACAGTGTTTTTACGTACAGGGTCCGCCGACACAACAGCAGCGCGGACAGCAGCCTCCCCAGCAGCACGTACAGCATCAGCTGCAACAGTACCCTACTACCCTGCCCCAACTTCCCCCTCACCATTTGCATTCTTCATCAGACTATCCGTTCCTCTCAATGATGGGCGTCCCCACAAGGCCCCCGTTTGCTGGAGCTCCCAACGCAGATGGCAGCAGCAGCAGCAGCAGCAGTAGCCCGTTGCAGCCAAGCGACACCTGTAACACGCAGATGCTTGCTTCTGAAGCGGACCCGGTCGACTTCTCTGCTGCCCCAACAGCAGGGGCAACTGAAACGAGAGCGGTAACGGACACAGCAGCAGCAGCAGCCCCACAAACGCCTTCCAACGAAGGCACGAGGCCTGTTGAAACAGCAAGATACGCGGCTGTAGGCATCGCTGACAAGCGCGAAGGCGGTTCGGCAGCCAGTGCCACTTCGGTTGCTGCAGGAGCTGCAGCTGCAGCAGCCACTGCAGTAGCCGCTGCAACTACATCACCTGCCCCAGGTCTGAACGGCGTCGTTGCTCTCGGCGCTTCTGTGGGTTGCCCCACTCCCTATGCAGTCATGAGCGAGGCACCTCTGCAGCAGCAGTCGTGGCAGCACTTGTCTCACCCGTACTGGCAATCGTGGCAGCTGCAACAGCAGCAGTGGCAACAGCAGCTGCAGCAACAGCAGCTGCAGCAACACCACCTACAACAGCACCAGTTACAGCACCACCAGCTGCAGCACCACCAGCTGCAGCAGCAGCAGTGGCAGCAGTGGCAGCAGCAGTGGCAGCAGTGGCAGCAGCAGTGGCAGCAGTGGCAACGAATGGATATGCCTGCTTACTCTTACCTACCCGTGCAGCAGCTGCAGCAGCAACAGGTACAGCAGCAGCAGCAATATGTAGGCCTGATCCAGCAGCAGCGGCAGGATTGGGGGCCTCAGAGGCCAGCTGGTACGAACAGGAGTCACCAGCGGGCGGCGCGGCGCGGCGTACAGCAACAGCACCACCAGCAGCAGCACCAGGCTGCCTCGGCCCCCCACTGCAGCAGCGCTGCCGGTCCCCGCAGAGGACTTCAGCGCCAGTGGCAACAGTCGGCCTTCCCAGTGGGAGGACAGACGGCGGACTGTATGCCTCACATTCCATCGGAGTCCTGTGCGGCGGCGGCAGCGGCGGCAGCGGCGGCAGGTGCTGCACCAGTTGCTGCTTACCCGCTGCCGGTGCAGGCCCCTGCAGCAGGAGCTCCCGTCTGCGAGCCCACGGATAACCGAATGACCCGTACACCCGGTCGTATCGTGGCTGTTGCTCCTGCGTGCAGTTACGCTACAGCTGTGCGCAGTGGGCCTGCGACTTCCTCCCCGCAGTCCGTACAGCAACAGCAGCGGCAGCAGCATGGGCAGTGGGTGGCGCAAGCACGCATTGGCAACCGAAATATAAGAGATATACCCTGCCGGCCGCGGTCGGTGCAAGAGGAGCGCCGCCTAGTTGACAACACGCAGCAGCTAGTTGAAGGGCCTCTCCGGGGCTGCAGGAGGCGTGCAACCAAGAGCACCCCACCTCCAGCTCCTGCTGCTGGTGCCCCATCTCCTGCAGGGGGAAGCACTGAGGGATTAACGGCGTTATCGAGTAACACCTCAGCAGCTACAACCTCGGCTGCAGTAACTACACAAGAAGGGGGAAGGACAGGCAGCGGTAACAGTAGCTCAAGCGCACTGCACAGCGGCCGTTGCAGCCGCCGCAGCAGCATGAACAGCAGGCCTAGTAGCAACAGAAACTGCACTAGGAGGAACAGCACCAGGAGTCTCGCCAGCAGCCGGATGCTCCCCGAAGAAGGCTATGCATACACTAAAAACATGGCCTATCTAGCTCCACTTGTAGAGGCAAAGAAAGTTGGCCCTGGCGACTTCGTGCTGCTGCACGTTATAGGCAAGGGCTCATATGGTACATCCAAAACCACATAGGTGGCGCTGGCCGCGTGCACGCACGCATACTTGCGTGCATGCGTGCGTACTGCTGTCCCTGTGCAGAGCTTAAATACTTCCCTGCTCCGGGTTTTTAGCACATTTTTTCTGCTTGCACGGCGCAAACGTGGGAGCTTATTGACTCTGTGTGCTGAGTGCATGTTTACTCGCTTGTTTTATAGGTGTTTTGTTACACGCGCCCGCATGTCTTCGTCAGTGGCTCTACTGGCTTGTTAATTTTCTTGCCCTGTACTAATTCGTATGCGTTTATTCACATCTGTTGAGTTGTTCATTTTTACATTGTTCCTGGGTTTATATCCGCTTTAGCCGCGTGGATTTGTGCGCGTGGGGTATTTCATTTCCTTGTGTATTTTCCCGTAGTTATTAGTTTGCTTACCAATCATTTCCGTCCTCCTGCGGCGTTTAGGCAAAGTGATGCTTGTCCGGTTCGAACAGGATGGCCAGTTATATGCGCTGAAGGTTCTTCTTAAAGAATCCCTGCTGCGTCGTAGCCAGGTGAGTCTGTTTGGCTCTTAGATGGCAGTTAGATGTGGAAGGAAGCAAGGGGACCGAATGCTAACCACAAAACATCTGGAGTGGCGATCTTTAGCTCAGACCACTGGAAGATCTAGGGAGGTGGAGGGTGACCGCAATCGCACAGGAGGGCGCTCCAGATGGCAGGGAAAGATAATTTTGCAACTGAGGCCTCACATGCAGCGTTGTCGTTGCATCTGATTCTGCTGCTGCTTCGGCCGCTGTGGGCGTTGTGGGTGTCTGTTGATGGCAGTTCCGCGTGCCCGCATATTGAGCTTTGTGCTGATGCCGCTGCTCTTGCGTTTAATAGGTGCAGCACACGCGCACGGAGCGGGCAGTCTTGGAGGCAATCTCGCATCCTTTTATTGTGCAAATGCACTTCGCATTTCAGACACCGAAGAAGCTGTACTTTGTTTTAGAGTCCGTCTGTCTTGCTTGATTGTTTGACCGAATCACTACCTCTGCGCTCTTAAGTTGCTTTCGTAGTGTCGAGGCTTAGGACTTTCCGCTTGGCTGCTGGTTCTACCTTTTCCTTGCCTCTTTTTGAATGGCAAATTTACTATGGCTTAGTAACTGGCACTTTTAGCGTCTGTGTACTGTAGTTGTGTCGTGAGGGTCGTGTGGTGGGAGGCGAGTGGCGGGTGCAAGCATTTTGGTAAGCCGCAGGTTCAGACCGATTTTGGCCCGATGTGCCGCAGGTACTGTCCCGGTGGGGAGCTGTTTTTCCATTTGCAGAAAGAAGGGAAGTTCACTGAGGATCGCTCCCGCTTTTACGCTGCTGAGCTGTTGCTCGCTTTGGAGCATCTTCACAAGCACAATGTGATCTACCGAGAGTACAATAACCCTACAAACACGCCTTCCCTGGCCATCCCAATCCAGACCTGCAGATATCATCCGAGTTCTTGCATGCGCAAGCATGCTCCCTCACATTGACAGGGTGTTTCCTCGCTACTTCTTTATAGGGACACAGGCCCCTTTCAACAGCAGTCAGCAGCGGATGCGGGTGGCGACTCACGGATGTGTGTGTGTAGTGTGGTGCATTCCGCATTTGCATGCCTGCAAGTGGAAGCAGCAGACATAGGACACCGTGCATCGTGTCCTGTTCGATCAGGGTATTCTTCTGCCTTATATTGCGTTTTTTCTTGATTCAGCCTCAAATCGGAAAATGTTTTGCTGGATGTTGAAGGCCACATCCGGCTGACAGATTTCGGCCTCTCAAAGAGCGGCATCGCGGACAACAATAGTGCCCGAGTACATCGGCAGCTGTCTCCTGCAGTTCTAGCCATGTTGTTGTTGTGATTGCTACTGCTGATATTGTTGCCGTTGCTAGTACTGCAGTTGAAATCATCCCTTGGGGGTGTTGCTTGTGATCCACTTCTCATCCAGGCCAGCGTTAGCTGCTGGCAATTCACGGAGATGGCACACTTTGCTGATTGCTTTGCTGATTGCTTTGCTGATTGGCTGCTTTGCTTCGGTTGCTGCGTTTACCTTTGCTGCAGTCCGTGTGCGGGACCCCCGAGTACATAGCCCCTGAGATTCTGTGTCAGGTCGGGCATGGAAAAGCAGCAGATTGGTGGAGTCTCGGGGCTTTGCTCTATGAAATGCTGACAGGCCTGCCTCCTTTTTACACGGCTAATCGCCAAGCTCTCTTTACAAATATTCTCTGGTGAGTTGCCCTGGGGCTTGGAGGTTCGGATTCAGGCTTCAGCGGACCCTCTTTGCACCAGTTTGCAGATGCATGCTGCTTATGTATGGATGCGAACACATGCGGTGTTCCGTGGGTCTGCGACAGTTGACAAGGGCAGCTACCACCGAAAAGACTGCTACCACTTGCGTCTTCAATGTGTTGTCCTCCTTTTCTTCCCCAAGGAGGGGCTGGATTCTTGTGCGCGTTGCCTAGCGGGCAAATCGATAGCTCCGATGGAAAAAATACCGCTGTTACTCCTTGCTTGGCGGGAAGGACATTACAAGAGCGGACGATGCTTGCACAACCCCATGAGGGTAGTGCAAAGTTACTTTACGTCATATGTGCATGCATATTGTATCTGTAGAGTTGTGTGCTGCTTTGAGCTTCACAGCTCCTGGACTCCGTATGGCAATGCAGACGATCGGTAGCTTAGTTTGGGGTTGTGGCGTTTTGTTACGTTTCAGTGGGCTTAACGTGTGTGGTGATTGTGCTGCGAACAGGGGAGGATTGGAGTTCCCGGCTGATCTGTCCCCGGCGGCCGTAGACCTCCTGAAGAATCTACTGCACCGCGACGCCAATGAGCGACTGGGCGCTGGGCCCTTAGATGCAGAGGAGATAAAGGTATGCATTGTATGTTTCCTTTTGGTATGTAAAATTAAGGAGGCGTCAGATATGGCAGTGTGTGATGATGTGGTGGAAGATGTGAAGATAACAAACACAATCTACGTCGCGTGATGAGAAAACTTACGTAGCTATGCCTGTTGTATGAATAAGCGTAATTTTGACAGTAAGACGATTCTTTGGTGAAACGTGATTCATCCCCAGAATGTGCATTGGGTTCGTTGTGACGGACTTCGCATTTACTGGTTGATTTATCTGCAGAGGCATCCATTTTTTGAATCAGTAGATTGGGACCTGCTTCTTGCAAAGAAAATAGAGCCGCCTTTCAAACCCCACCTGCGCTCGCATGAAGATTCCAAGTACTTCCCGGCAGATGTTAAACGAGAACCCGTTTTATCGGATGAAGGTGACGGGCCCGACGCAGCTTTTGGTACCGCCACCAGACGAACGAGAACACAACGGTCTCGCACGCCAGCTTCGCGCTCTACAGGGAACAGCAGCCGCAGCAGCAATAGTAGAGTAGCAGCAGCTACAGTAGCAGATCCAGTAGCCAGTGGCAACTGTACTGCGACAGCTTACACGGGGACAACGCGACAGCCAGAGGACGCATGTACAGAGGGGCACTCCCATGCATGTAGCTCGCATTCTTCTCACAATTCCCAGCACACCGAAGATGAGGAAGGCGAGGCCCTCTTCAAGGGTTTTACCTACGATGAACGCCTCCAGGGGTCTGTCTACAGTCTTAGTTCAAATGCTGGTTGTCCTGTATCTGTTTTGAGTATGTACAAGTTGCCGCGCAGTTGGGCAAGAGGTAACGGTATCCGTTACTCGCCGATATGTTCTGTTGCTTCCGTTGTTTCAGGACCTGGGGCAAAGCGGCAACATCTCCGGACGACCCCTACGATTTCTAGGCGTTGTATTGACGCAGCTTCTGTTGTATTTCCGTAGGGAGAGGACCGACGTCGTTCCTCTCTATCTCGCTATCCGAGGTGATTGTCGGCCAGCGAGGTCAGTCTGATATTCTCAACCCCCCACCCTGGTCTGCCTACTGCACGATGGTGACAGGGAAAGGTTATTTGATGTTTGTTAATGCAATTAATGAGTTGCCGGTACACCTCCCGCACTGGAGAAGCCGGCAGCCACACACTCGCACACATACACACACACACGGACACACACAGACAGACAGACACGTACACACACGCACACACACGCACACACACACGCACGCACACACACAGGCAGGCACAGAAACGAGACCCGCTGGGGTCCGCCTATGCATACGTGCCACCTGGTGCCGTTAGGAGGCCAAGCCGCTGATGCTCTCACGATGTGCCCACCTCTGTGGCTCTAGATAAGCGCGCTGCCCGGATTGAGCCGTTGCTAGTCTTGGCGAAGATACAAGCCAGCGATGCGCGGCGAGAATGCCGTGTGGCATAGCTTCCGTTTCCCGATTATTCCCAGGCACGACCACTTCTCTTCACTGTCTGCTTGCTGGTGTAAGCTAAGCGCGACACTGAAGGGGGTGATAAATTGTATTTTTTGTGTCTGGATTCATTCGACAATAAACCCCTAAATTATGGGGTCGCAGCCCTGCAGTTCCCTCCGATGCAGAGTGCTTATACCTCGTGGGTATCATGAGGACGCTCATAGAAAAGTGGCACCAGCATTGAAAAACAGTTATCCCTTGTCACACCACGTTTCGTTGAAGGGGAACGCAGTCTCTGCGTTATGTTGAACGTTTTATGGCCTTTCACGCCAATTGTATAAGCCTCCTGTGTTAATTCGAAGGATGCAGGAGGCAACACCAAAGGACAATTGCGTTTTTCCCTCCAATAGACACGACGCTTTTGGACTAAATTCACATGTAAGACAGCTTACGGGTTTGAATAAATTATTTTGCCTTACCTTAGAGGATCGCCAGACACTATGATGCAGTAGGTAGGCTAACTGAGCAATAACACCACTTCCACTCCACTTTTGTTGGAGTATGTATGGGTGGAATGCTCTAGGGCCACCAGCACGCTCCGCACTCGCCTTAGATCTGCGGCCTAGGAGGAAGGATTTTGAAGGAGGCAAGTTTAGAGGGCGGCCACAGGAAAGAATAACACACTCGCCGCAACGGGCGAGCATTTAAGTTAGTGAAGCAAGAGGCAAACGAGGCTATCGAGTCAATATGTGTGCACCAGCTGTTCCCGGCTGCATAATTCTATCAGCAGCCTACGTCATAAAGAAAGAGGAACACCCCAACCCCGCGAGAAGTGACAGGCATAGGAACACAGCTGCAATAATGCTCATCTTCCAATTCCTCAAGCGAGATGAGCTAGTGTTAGCACAGAAGAAATACTCATTGGATGGTTGAAAGCATCAAACCACCACGCATTGTGTGCTCACTTTGTCCACTCTGGATCTTGACCTCTGGGCCAACCAATTTTCGTTAATTGGCCCACAGGTGGCCTCGTCCTTCGTAGTGGATGGTCTTCCTGAATACCGTGCGAAGGCCATCGGGCAGTGACTACAACGTGCGATAGACGATTTCACGTGCGTTGTTTAGGGACGCTTCTTCAACATCCATCTTACTCCGGTAGGAACGCGCTGTGCAAGCACCTGCTAACCGTTGGTGTTCCAGCCTCATCGTCACCCAGTTTAGAAAGCCAGCCTGGTGCTGCAGTGAGAGCCCTGTAGTGCGATGACGATGGGTGTGGTGTGATGCGAGTGCAAAATGTACCCATAATGAATGCATGTCATGTATGCAGTTTGTGACAGTGTGCAGTATGCATTAATGCAGATGTGTGTACTAACCCCCTACTATTAAAGTTGTGGATTATTCTGGAAATGTGACCTGCAAACCATTTACACTCAAGGCAGATTTGCCATACAGCGCATGCATAGCTTGCGCATGCCAAGGGACCCAACGTGGAAATGTCAGATATGCCAGTTGATGAGCTTAACGGGTCCGCTCTTCTGAGGCTTCAAATTAGGAGGGGCTCTTCCGTTTCAACACCCAAGCTCGTTACGCTTAATTTCCTTTGCAACAGGCGCATAACATCTGGCAACCTGTATGCTAAGCATAGCACGCCTCCCTCTTCAGCTGGTGCGAATGGGGGTCCAAATTCAGATGCGGTGAATTTCTACAAAGTAAAGTTAAGGCACGCAGGAGCAGAGACCTAACCTGCTCCACTTAAAAAGAGTAAGGTTTCCCGTAGCCATTTGCCCCATATTGTCCCCCCTTTCAATGCCTTCTTAAAGGCGCGCTTCCACTGCAACCGAGGCCCTGAAGGGCGCAGTCCCCATGGGGCGTAAAGAAGAGGACAATAAGGAGAATGGCAGTTGCGTTGATTTGTTCATTAACTGCTCTGCTGTGTGCGTGTGCCTTTACACCCGGAGTCGCCGGAGTGTACGGACAGCTGCGCCACACTTCACAAATCACAGAAGCGGCTGCCTGAATGTCGCCCATGTCTTTCTGTTCGCCAGCATTTTCGATAGGACAAAATATCTAATTTAATGAATTCTTCACCAGAAATGAACGCCACTCACTTCAACGTGCTACCCGGCAACAGTGCGGGCCAATTCAGTATTTTCTCTACGCTGCGTTCTAACCCCTGCGGGGACAGCCTCAACGTGCAGCTGCTGAAGATGCAGCAGGCTCCTGCGGCTGCATCGAGGTGCTGCCACATGGCGCTTCTGTCTCATGCAGGTAAGAGCGCTTTTCTGAGAGGTGAAGCCAGCGCGAAGAGCCAGTAGTTGCTACTAAAAAGAGGGCCCCAGACCCAATTGCGAATACAAAGATATACGCATACAACATCTGGTGGGCAAGCACTTATTGATGCACGGATATACATGCAAGTACATATCCTGATGTGAGCAAAAATATTTGAATACGTGCGTATATGTACTGTGTACCTTGTGCATACATACATACACCTACAGATGTAGGTATGCAACTTCACTCCAGCAAACTGTTCAAGTGAGTTGGAGATCAACACACGGGACAAAGTGAGACAATTATGCAAAAATGAATAATAAGCAATACATGGAAATGAAATGAGAGTGTAGACCTTGTAACACCTTTAAAAGTCTCTCCACTTCTCTTATGGCTTGGGTGTCGGTCTGTTCCACCCCAACGCGGGACAACGCCAATCAAGCGCTCTGCTGTTCCTTATGTATTTTCTCATACATTTCTTTTATCTGTGCAGCAAACACCTGTAAAATTCCAAACGAACCCACCCCAAACAGAATGGTTAAGTTCTATGTATACACTGACGAGAAGCTGGGCCTGGCGCCTCTTGCATACAGTTTAATGCTGCCAACATGGATGTTCGTGTACACGCAAACGCATGCCTATGCGCGCAAGCATGAAGGCTAATTTGCCGCCACGTCCAATTCAATAGCTCGGTCGTCCTCTACTATCTCTCTAACGTATGCGGCGCTGCATGTGAAGTTAAAGCCGTGTTTCTTCCTTGCACATCTTCATGGAATCTTTTCCTAGTCAGAATCTGTAGCATGCGTGCCTGCTTTGATTATCTGCACTTGTCTCTAATAATTCATCTACAATGTGCAACTCGATCTGATTGCTGAGCAGACATGCATTTCTTAATCATGTGTCTGTATGTGGGCGCATCCGCATGTGCAGCGGTAGGCACTTTGTCTGTAGGGGTAAGCATGTGGGCAGCACCTGCACGGTTTGCACCTTCATGATCGCAATTCGTGATGCATACATGTTCCGCAGCGCAGGTGCGCGCGACCTGGTATGACTCACCTCCTGTGCGTAGTGCCGTTTAAGTTTGAATGTCGGGGTAAGCAGTCCGTTCTCTACGGTAAACTGTTCGGTGCGGAAATAAACCTTTCTTGCGAGTTCGAAGCCCTTCAGCCCTTGCTTCTTAGCCACCTGCTGCATGTCTTCTTGTATGATTCGCTGCACTTCTGGATCCTCCAACCATTCCGCGAAAGTATGCGCTTCTGCTGCTGCAGCACCCCTCGTCTCCCGCACCCACTGCAGCGTCTGGTCGGGATCGGCAACCACAACAGCCACCAACGATGTCTGGCAGGAACAAGGACAAAAACAAGAGAAAGTTCCAATGCAGCAACCACTACAGACACAGAAACAATGGGGAACACATAACGGATATGAAAACAGGCAAACTCAGCACAAACGTATGCGGGGCGGGCACAGGAAAGTCGAAGCTCATCTAGTTCCTTTAACGCCGTAGACCCAACACTGCAGACGCGTGGAGCATGTGCACGACTCAGTTATGTGAATGTGGATCATTATCATACTGTCACAGTTGCATACCAACAAACACCAAAAGCTAGTATGCATGCATGTGCACATGCTTGGCTGGAATGCACATTCATTGTAGTGTGTGACTAAAAAATGGATGCACTTGTTATAGTTGGGCGTCCGTACCTCTGATGAAAACCCAAAAACAAAACACTGCACCACAAACCGGCTGTGCATATACACCGCCTCTATCTTCTCAGGGGCAACGTACTCTCCCTGCAAGTTGAAGAACAACGAACAAAGCTTGCAGCTCTTAAAGTGTAAACGAGCACAGATGCACTAGGAGCAAAAGGATTATACTGTGCTTCCCTTCAACTTAGTTCTAACTCCGGCGTAGGTTAAAACAAAGGGGCTGCAAGGTGGATGCAACAAAAACAAGCCACTATACACAAACTGAAGAAGAATGATACCGGCGCACCAGAAAAAAAACACAGAAGCCCGGGAATCAGGAGATGTATGTGCTGAAACCAAACAGGTATACATAATCAGGTCAAATCAGAACAGGGAAGCCACAAGGTCACTGCTACAAAGCACGCAGTACCGAATACACACGGTCAATGCAAGAAAGCGCCAATACAAGCTGTAAGCAAACAGGCAAAATAAGACACCAAGCTAACACAGTAACATACGAGAAGGGGAGTCACGACAAGCATGCGCACTTACGAAACAAGAACCGATGAGAAACGACGGGAAACTAACTGAAAGAAGGAACCTTATTGTAGCCAAACAAGAGCAAAACGGAACAGACAGACACGAAAGAACCAGAATTGCCCGGCAAACTATGTCACCCTTGTTGCTTGTGTTCCAGGATTGATAAGCCACCAATTCATTTGCTTGTCACACAGTTCGCCGGGCATTTCAAGTTCTCGTTGCATGTGTGTATTCAGCAGATGAATCGGCGCTGTTTGTCAACCCCATTCCACCTCACAGCAGATTTACGAGTGTAACTGCTCTCATAAGTAAACGCCAACGAACAGAAAAAAGTCAGTGTATTACGGAAACTAGCGACATTAGCATAGCTGGCTCCTTAAGGAACTGCACAATGCCAGGGGCAGTGACACGGATAAACAGGCCCAGAATACACACCACTGCATCTACCGACGTGACGTAAAGTGCCTCAAGTGTTTCTACTATGAGCACTCAAACAGACGCAAGACAAAGGAAGAAGCGACAAATAAAAGCTGAGTGTCCATTGGTGCCATGGTAAAGAAAGCCCCTAGAATGTGATGCTTGAGAGTACTCTTTTTCCTGTCTGAGTTAACAAAGGAATGATGACCACGGGCATGAGTGCTTGGCGATGCACAGCGACAAGTAAATGAAAAAGAACCTAATGGAAAACAAGTGAGGGCAAACCGTTCAAGACGTAGCGGACGGACCTGAGCAAGCTTGAATATATTCTTTTTCCTGTCTATGATTTGCACGCCTCCATTTGGTAATAACGCAGCTATGTCTCCTGTATGAAACCAGCCGTCTTTGTCGATGACACTATCTGTCTCCTTTTTGTTTCGAAAGTACCCCGCGAAGACAGTCGAGCCTCTGACACAGAGTTCGCCCTTGGGGATCGGATCCCTGATCGAGTACTTGTTCATTGTCTCACTTACATCCAGCAAGCAAAACTCTAAGCAAGGCAGAACCCCGCCAACTTGCCCTGGGCTGTTGTCATAAACGTTCCACGTCAAAAAGGAGGCGCCCATTGTCTCCGTCATGCCGTATCCCTATTGCACAGGCGTAACTCAACTCCGCAACAGCAATAACCAGAAAAACAGTTACGTCGTGCAACAGGACCACAATCTCATCGAACCCATATCCACTGTAAGAACATACAAATATGAGGAAGTGTATGCTTGTAACCTTCAGTGAAACATATAGTATCAATAATAATCGCAATAGCAATCTCTTGGGTAGCCGCGTACACCCACAAATACACACGGAGAATCTCTAAATACCACTGCAACGGATTAGGTTTCGAAAGCCCTACCACTGGGCCATCAGCTACTAAAGTTGCTATATTTGCATCTGCTGCAGATATGCTATAATTAGGGCTTGTACATTCGCCGCCTACACGAACGCTACCCCCTCATCATGACGCCGCTCAAAGTAACTTATATAAAGTGAGGCAGTGCACACAAATACGCAGTAACTGAATGGGCGAAGAAAACAACACAGACTCAAGATGCGCTAGAAGGGAGTGCCGGGACATATCAAAGTCGTGGAATTTCCGTTCAAAATTTGGCATTCCTTGTTGAAGATAATTACTGGAAGCAGAACGCGAGAGAAAAGAGATGCGTCGCATGCACTTGGAGGCACCGACCTCAACAATCCAACAGCAGAAGAAAGCGCGCATGCGTTCCAAGGTCTGGGGATCGAGGGGAGCAGACCCCGTCAGCATAATCCGCACGCGGCCTCCCATAAGGTTCTTGAATTTGTCGAATACAACCTGCAATTAACAACCCCTGAACCCAGCACGTAAATTCTATTCCCAAACCCTAATGCCTACCGATATCGCACACATAGACACGAACACAATAAACAGACGCCCGCGCGGAATACCAGCTGAAATTCCCTCCACGGGTGTCCCATGCATGGTAACAACAAACCCAGATGCCTAAGATACCACCACAAATGACGAATTGTCATATACCCGACGCGACCAAGACAAGTGAAGAGCAACACGAAGCCAAGGCAGTGGCAGCGGGCACACACCAATGCACATGCAGCCAAGCAATATATATATATATATATTATAT